GCGGACGCGCCGGACCGTAGCGAAAAACGACAAATAATATTACCGTCGGGTTGACCCGCGCGTCGCGTGTCACGTTTTCCAAACCGAGCGTAAAAAAAAGAGGTTGCCCGTGCGCGTCCACGTTCGCCGAAGTGGCCTAATCGCGAGCCGCGCGCACGTTTTCCCAGCGACGACGATTTTTCCCGGGGAAATATTTTTTCGACATTTCGTTAATTTCTTCACCATAAACTTCATATAATTTTTATACAATTTTCTAATATAATATATTATATTATTATTATATTATATTATAGAGTGTTCCAAAATTATGGTATATCCGGGAAATGAGGGGTTCCCGAGGTCATTTGAAGCAACTTTTTCCTCAGCGAAAATGTTCTACGAGGCTTCGTGCACGAGTTATTGTCGAAAAACAGTGACCAATGAGAGGCGAGCTCGGCTGGCGTGCGGCGGTCCAGCCAACGAGTACACGGAGCCCAGTTCCGCTCATTGGCTCGGCCGTCTCGCGCCAATTGATCTCTCCTCTGATTGGTCAGTGTTTTTCGTTAATAACTCGTAAACGAAGCCTCGGAGAAAATTTTCGCAAAGGAAAAAGTTGCTTCAAATGACCTCAGGAACCTCCCACTTCCGGATTTCGAGACATTTTCGGGACACCCTGTATATATGATACTTTCTTCATATAATTTTTTATATAATTTCTTAATTTTTATAAATTTTTCTTATGCAATCATAGTCGTCAACTAATTACGCTTAAGATCGTTGGATTTCAACGAATAGATTGAACGAAAAGATCAGCCTGAACGATCATTAACCCTTTGCACTCGAGCGGTGACTCTGAGGCACCATTAAAACTTATGATGTCACGATCTAAAATAATTTTTACATTAGCAAAGTTTAGATTTAAAAAGATTGTTAAGAGCGTAACCGTTGTGCGAGTCACAAGAGTCAATTTCATATGCGTAAAATGCACTTTGTCATGTAAAATGAACATACTATAAGTCAGAAAAATTACTTTAGATTCACAGTTGAAATAGCTACGAGTGCAAAGGGTTAAAAACTTTATAAAAGACAAACGTAATTCCTCCCATAACCCAATACTCTAATAAAGATAAAATAAGACATTGTTTAACCAGTTTATTTAATTTAATTTAATTTAACCAGTGCCCGAAATTGCTTGAAAACCTAATTACCTTGTATTTTCGTGCATTGAAGCGAATGCTAATTTACTTCTTCACCGATTGTCCTAACGTTTACTGGATAAATCCTTTCGACCGGTTAATTCGTCGTCCGCAGTCGTCTTTCGCTGACGTTTCTTGGTAATACCAATTTAAGCGGAAGGTAAACGCGAAACTCGTGGTTTTAGCCGGTGAAATCAAGTTCTCTGCTCGATGAACCTGTATTATGAATTAAAACGGGACCAAATCTGGGTCGACGCGAAATAGTATTGGAAATCCGCTCGGATAGTAATCGAGCATAGAACATTTATCGTGCTCGCCCGAAATAATTAGAGTTGATTGTCTAAATGCGACACCTAAGTGACGGCCCACGATGGTTGTCAAACCTGTTGATGCTTTTTAAAAGACCGCGATAAAATATAAGTAGGATAGAAGCTGATAGAAGCTGACGAGGTAAAAGCAAACGCTCGTCGTATAAATTGCGAACGAGAGAATCGGAATACAGGGTGTCCCAAAAATGTCTCGCAATCCGGAAATCGCGGGTTCCTCGGATCATTTGAAGCAACTTCTTCCTTTACAAAAATGTTCTCCGAGGCACCGTTAACGAGTTATTAACGAAAAACAGCGACCAATAAGAATCGAGTACAGCTGACGCGAGGCGGCCCAGCCAACCAGCGCACGAAGCCCAGTTCCGCTCATTGGCTCGGTCGCCTCGCGCCAGCCGAGCTCGCCTCTCATTGGCCACTGTTTTTCGTTAATAACTCGTTAACGGTGCCTCGGAGAAAATTTTTGTAAAGGAAAAAGTTGCTTCGAATGACCCGAGGAACCCGCCACTTTCGGATTGCGAGACATTTTCGGGACACCCTGTATTTCGGAGGAAGTATAATCTAAGTGTAGTATAGTATAGAAGTGTAGAAGTATAATGTACACGTGGCGATGGTAAAACGACGCTTGCTTCGGTGAAATTCGAGCGAGCGAGGAACGCTCGAGGGACGAGGAACGAGTGACGAGGATCGAGGGGAGTGGGGCCGGAGAAGACGCGGGTCCGCCGGACAAGGGTTAAATAGCGTTGGTAGCCGATTGATTGGACGTTAAATGCTTCCTAAATTGATTACGAAGCTATCAGTCTTATCACGGCCGCGTTCCCGCTTCTTCCAGCTCTGTTTTAGCCGACGGTAGCACGGATCAAACAATGAGAAACTGCTCGAGGTTCGCGCGATGTTGCGCGAACGCCGGCAATCGCATCGGCCGGGCGACGTTACATTCGTCCGGCGGAGGAGGAGAGGGGCGGGGGGGGGGGGGCGGGGGGGGGGGGGGGGGGGGGGGGGGGGGGGGGGGGGGGGGGGGGGGGGGGGGGGGGGGGGGGGGGAGTCCGGGGAGGCGTAGCTCGAGCGGAGCAGCCGAGCGCATCGGCCGAGCGGAAGACGCGCCGCGCCGGCTACGAATAAAAGTTATTTCATGTTTTAATAATGCCGTCTGTGGTAACGAAGATCATGTAACGACCACGAAGTCAAACAGAAGAAAGAAAAAAGAAGAACTTTAATTATGGCCGGCCGGTAATACAAGCGCCGCCGGCCGGAGGCAAATTTATGGTGGAACTCCTTCGCGAACTATCGATTCAGAAGTAAATATAGAGCCGAAGTGGCTAGCCCAATTTCGTGCTAGGTCAATAACTGACAAATACCCCGTGGAATCGTTTAGACTGCGCAACGCGCGCCCTCTTTGCTCGATCCGCACTTCGGCGGCGCGCACAGTTCGCTCGGCTCTTTTCGGGCCCGATCGCCGCGTCTCGCAAGAGGTACGAGCAAAATTTCGTTAACAAGCTCCGCCGATCCCCCCGCTCGTCCCGCACGTCGGCGAAACGCCGACGTTGATTTTTTTACCTTTCTCCTCGGAAGCCGGCAGGCCAGCATCGAATTGACCGAACGTGTCCGAGTTCGCTATAAAATCGAGACTGAAAACCGACATCTTTTTCGTTCATTGTCATCGTTGGCGTATCGTTAAACTGTTCTGAGTCGAGATAAGTTTATTCGGGAAATCTCCGGAGTTTCGGGTCGTTTGTTTCACCGCGGAACGGCGCGATACAAAGTATTAGGTTAGAGAATAAGTTCGTAGCGTTTTTATATTTTCTTTTATTCTACAACGATTTTTTGCTGTTCGACAAAGTGTATAATATTCATTCGATAGAGCTCTTTCTGCTCTACAAAACTGTGCTAATCGTCTTTTCGAGTAATTCAATTTTTTATTACTTCTGAGGCTTAGAAATGGAATATCCAGGAGGTAAAAAAGCAACATTTTCGACACCTTCTCTTCTTCGCTTTTCATCAAGGCCAAAAAGCTGCCGAAGCAGCTCGGAACATTTGCAACGTATACGAAGAAGTTGTCATAGGCGAGTCTACAGCACGGAAATGGTTTGCGAAGTTCAAAAATTGCGATTTTGACGTCGACGACACGCCCCGCAGCGAAAGACCTTCCGAATTCGACGAAGAGCGTCTCAAAGCACTTTTGAAGGAGGACGGTCACCAAACGAGTCGTAAATTGGCCAAAAAAATGAACTGCGATCATAAAACGATTCTCAATCATCTTCATTCAATGGGATTTGCCGAAAAATTGAGAGCCTGGATGCCTCACGAGCTTAACGAAAACAACAAAGAATATCGCCTTCAAATAAAAACGTTGCGAACTTATTCCCCAACCCAATAGTTTCACCGAACAGTTCGACGCTAAACCTACCGAGCACGTACGACGCGTTTAGCTTCGTAAGAATGACAAAACTGAACGTATTTAGACACCTTGCTATATAACGCCATCTATGACAACGCGCGCTTCATTCAAGAAGCACAATCATTTCCTGCGAAAAGATCCTCGCTACCTCGACTTCAATTTTAACCTAAAAATCGTGGAATCGTGATAGGTCCAGTGTTAAATAGTGCTGTAGGATAATCGACAATAAGATCATGATGCTGCATTCTTGTCTGCGAAGCAAACCTTCCATTTCCAGCAAATCTTATGCGAAATCCTTATATTCGAGAGCCCGCGAGTCGAACAATCGAAAGATTATCCAGCCTGTCGGAACCTTCCTTACCGATACCAGATCAGCGCGCCGCGCGGCAACGTATTTGAAAAACCAAACTTACCAGTCGAGACGATTCTCTCAATCGTGACGGAAAACAATGGTCTCGGCATCGCGCCAGTTCGGAGTTATACGTACGCGGAACCAACATGGAGGACCGCTCGTTGTCTCGACGCAAGACTTTGTTAATTCGCCGCCGATAAACGTCATCTGCGATCCGTCGGACACGGACGTCGCGGTGCATAGACGTGCGATTCGAATGGCGGCAGTAAACAGAGTGCTTCGACGCAATTGGCGCTCGCCGTGCGTAACGGTAAATAGAGCGCGTTCTTGCGAACGGTTCCGTGTATACGGTTGTTGCGTCACGGCGGCTCGGCGGTGACGTCACCGTGGAAACAGGTGACAACCACTATCGGGCCGGTGACGTCGAACGGGAACGGGCAACGAACTTCCGTTGTGCGCATGCGCGCTCGACCGTGCTCGGACGTGAGCGACGCACACGTCCCCTCGAACGAGCGAGATCAGTTTCTTTCGAGGACGAAGTATCCAGGCATTAGCTCGGGCCTGAGACAGAACTCGGGCACGGAGGAGCGACGAGTTTGCTCGCCGCTCGACAACCGTGGCCGAGGCTCGAGGGGCTCGGGCAGGCCCTCGGATGCGCGCATGTTCCCTCTTTCCGTGTAACCTAACGGGTCGTCTGGGTGCCAGCCGATTACCCGGCTCTAGAGGATTTAATAGACAGTGACAACACTTACGAGTGCCGCTGGACTGTCTGTCATTGTTTCCGGGATCCTTTTCGCCTGCGGACCGATCTCACTAGCGGTTAAACGCGCGATAAAGGGAACACGTACTCACGACACCGTACTCGAAATCTCGGATACTGCCTCGGCCATCATGGATGGCCAGCACGGCCGTGTCGATCGCCGACTCGTTTGCGCCGCAACCGCACCTGTCGCCATCTTACACGCGGCCGGGCCAACTCCTGGAGAAATTCGCGGCAAATGATACTCCAGATTTTATTTCGCGGATTTTCGGCGATCCCTGGAACGAATATATGATTTCTTAAGGAAGCTTTGTTTGCTGGCTTTCGTTCGGGTATACGTGACTTTCGTCGAGAGTGAAAATTGTAATCGATTGTAAGACTTGTTTTTGAAATCACGATGAGATTTGTAACTAAATTTACTTTCGAAGAGAACGTTGTGGAGATTACGAGAACAGGCCCCGTTTGGTTTCACGTAACTATAGTTCTGCCTTGGAAAATTAATTTCGATTCCGATTTTGGAGATTGTACCGCGTTCTGCAATCGCACAACTTTGTTCCAATTGTTCGTAGTCCATATTTTCAGGTAGAGCAATTAAACAAAATTGGATAATCGAAATTGTACTATGCTTGAATTTTAATATCAGGAATATCCGACGACTAAAGATTATTAAGAGAGCACCAAGGCTGTTATCGTAAATATATATATAGAAATGTTACGGCTTTTGTTGTAACATTGTGACATACGATGTAAAAATTAACGCGACTCATTTGCTTCTGTAATTTTAAAAGTAGCGCCGTTACACGTAGTGGCAAAGTCACGGACGAAGTGTCAGACACAGACCGCGACACGGATCTAGGATTCGTACATTGCATTTTTCTGCCTCGGGATTTGAAGTAGCGACCCTGTAGAAAATGCCACAGGCTTAGGATCCATGTGAACGTTGCATCGTGGACAAGGAATAGAAGTTAACTTGGCAAAATAACTTATTATTTTATCACCCAAAAATGGGGCTTCGGAAAACCCATTGACATTTCCATGCCGCGCTCATCGTTACCGATATTTAAGAAATTTAACCTTCTTAGTTGGAATCGAGTATTCGGTATACTTCGTTTGTACTACTACAGACGAAGTATAGGAGTAGACTCGAATATAATATTATTATATTATTATATTATATTATTACTGAATATATTATTTTGTGAGGAACGAGATGTAAATAAATTTGATACCGAATGTATTATTGTGTCACGAGCGAGACATAGTATATGTATGTATATATACATATATACCTATACATATATGTATATTAATTATCAGGTATATATATATATATATAATTAATTAAATTATAATTAAAGTATATATATACTGTACATATAAAGCATACGGGAGAGTACTAGGAGATATCATTAGAATAGGAAATTCTTACAATCATTAAACAACTAGAAATAATTACAGCAATCTTGGATCAATTTTTATCTAAATGTAGTAAAAAGTGTATGAAATTTGATAGAGGAAACTACACAATATTGAATAGTATAGTAAATAGTACAATAGTAAATAGTATTCCGTCGTATTTTACTACACAAATAGTATGTAATCAATTTACCTAACCGCTTCACCAGTCCGCCGGAACCACGCTGGTGTCGCTCGCAAAATGAAGAATAATGGTGAATAATGGTGCCGGTGGCGCCACCTTGGTTTCGTATTTACAGCTAAAAGCTAAATGCCGGCGGTGAATAAAAGCGTTTCTGTAACAGATGCGAAAGTCGGTGTTAACTTAGCGATTGTTTATTTGTTCGAATTCAGTTAAAATATCTACTATATTGTTCATAATGAATGAAAGAGAAATTTGTAACAGAAACGATGAAATGTTAGAATTCTTGTGTTGTGCTCATCGTTACCGATGGTTGAGAAATTGAAGCTTCTTAGCAAGGATCGAGTAATCTGTATACCTCGTTTGTATTACTTCGTTTGTAATGCAATATCCTCGGACGAATGTCTCGCAATTAATGTCTCGTCTGTAACTTGTTCACTGGTTTCAGCGTTTCGTCGCTGCGCAGAGTGGCGCTAAACTGTATTTTGCGACAGACGACAATGTTGCCAAGCCGACACTAGGTAGCACCACTTAATAGTTTCATGACATTTAAGCTGAATAATAATCTATTAGGTTGGGGAATAAGTTCGTAGCGTTTTTATGTTTTCTTTTATTTTACAACGATTTTTTGCTGTTTGACAAAGTGTATAATATTCATTTTGAGACTCAGAAATGGGATATCCAGGAGGTAAAAAACAACATTTTCGACACCTTCTCTTCTTCGCTTTTCATCGAGGCCAAAAAGCTGCCGTAGCAGCCCGGGTCATTTGCAACGTATACGGAGAAGGTGTCGTAGGCGAGTCCACAGCACGGAAATGGTTTGCGAAGTTCAAAAATGGCGATTTCGCCGTCGACGACACGCTCCGCGGCGGAAGACCTTCTGAATTAGACGAAGAGCGTCTCAAAGCACTTTTGAAGGAGCACGGTCACCGAACAAGTCGTGAATTGGCCGAAAAAATGAACTGCGATCATATAAAACGATTCTCAATCATCTTCATTCAATGGGATTTGCCGAAAAATTGGGAGTCTGGGTGCCTCACGAGCTTAACGAAAACACAAAGAAAATAGTCTTTGATAAAAACGCTACGAACTTATTCCCCAACCCAATATATTTTATAATTGTTGCTCGCATCAATGGAATCATGATCAAGGTGATCCTGTATTTTGTTGGTCCCTATGCTTCTGAAATTGCCAGATTGTTTTTCTTTTCATTGCACAGTCAATCCCTGCGGTATTGCATTATGTCGTTATTAGTTCTCCTTATATTAGCTTTTCTATGCTTTCGTTATTCCTAAAAAGTAAATATGCGTATAATAAACATGAGCATTTAATAACGAACATAGCAAATGACAAAACTATTGAGATTACTTGACTATGTAATATGTATATTACAGTGTTTCATAAAACAGCGTAAATCAATGTGACAATTGTTTAACAGGTTCGACGATAAGTTTCCCGAGAGATCAGCTGTTGCCTGACAGAGAACTGATTCTGGCATAACGTCGGCATGAACATTTCGAGAAAAATCAACGCGCATGGGCTTTCACCAGAACAGACTGTAGCTCCGGGCTACGAAACACGTTTTCTCTTCTTTCAGCTACAGTTCGCTTTTGCTTTCTTTTTCCAACCTTGTCTTCCGATCGCTCCCGTTTTTTCGGTACTCTTCGCAGGTACACGATATTCTTCTCCTTCTTCTTGTCTTCCTTTTATCTTCTCGCAATAAGTTATCCACAATGTATCCACGAACGAGTTAATGTTGGGCAATCTGTCAATTTCACCAAAATTTAATCAATATTTCATTTTAAGTATACATAATAATATTCCAGTCTTTTCTTTCTTCATCGATAACCAACAACGCCGAGAACAAGTAATTCGAAGTAAACGAAAGAAGAATTTCCAGCAGTAAATACTAAATTATTTAATGATACGTTTGGCACGAGACGAGTTTTATCAGCGTCATTATAAAGAAATGCAACACGGCATTGTTGTTAATGCGAATTAATTTATTATTATTCATTCGTTACGAGCACACAATACAGTGAATATTTTCTTATTTTATGCGAACAAACGGATAAGAGCTAAGTTTTCACGTTGACACTGACCTTCGCATCTGTCACAGAAACGTTTTTCTTCACGTCGACGTTTACCTTTTAGCTGTAAATACGAAACCAAGGTGGTGCCACCGGCACTCGCCATTACCCCTCATTTTGCGCGCGACACCAAGGAGATTACGTCGAACTGAAGTGTTTAGGAAAATTCGTTAAATGCTACATTTACGTAGTGAAATACGACGAAATACTATTAGGTTGGGGAATAAGTTCGTAGCGTTTTTATCAAAGACGATTTTCTTTGTTGTTTTCGTTAAGCTCGTGAGGCACCCAGACTCCCAGATGTGTATAAGAGACAGATCGAATGAATATTATACACTTTATCAAACAGCAATAAATCGTTGTGAAATAAAAGAAAATATAAAAACGCTACGAACTTATTCCCCAACCTAATAGATTATTATTCAGCTTAAATGCTGTCTCTTATACACATCTAGATGTGTATAAGAGACAGCATTTAAGCTGAATAATAATCTATTAGGTTGGGGAATAAGTTCGTAGCGTTTTTATATTTTCTTTTATTTCACAACGATTTATTGCTGTTTGATAAAGTGTATAATATTCATTCGATCTGTCTCTTATACACATCTGGGAGTCTGGGTGCCTCACGAGCTTAACGAAAACAACAAAGAAAATCGTCTTTGATAAAAACGCTACGAACTTATTCCCCAACCTAATAGATTATTATTCAGCTTAAATGCTGTCTCTTATACACATCTAGATGTGTATAAGAGACAGCATTTAAGCTGAATAATAATCTATTAGGTTGGGGAATAAGTTCGTAGCGTTTTTATATTTTCTTTTATTTCACAACGATTTATTGCTGTTTGATAAAGTGTATAATATTCATTCGATCTGTCTCTTATACACATCTGGGAGTCTGGGTGCCTCACGAGCTTAACGAAAACAACAAAGAAAATCGTCTTTGATAAAAACGCTACGAACTTATTCCCCAACCTAATAGATTATTATTCAGCTTAAATGCTGTCTCTTATACACATCTAGATGTGTATAAGAGACAGCATTTAAGCTGAATAATAATCTATTAGGTTGGGGAATAAGTTCGTAGCGTTTTTATATTTTCTTTTATTTCACAACGATTTATTGCTGTTTGATAAAGTGTATAATATTCATTCGATCTGTCTCTTATACACATCTGGGAGTCTGGGTGCCTCACGAGCTTAACGAAAACAACAAAGAAAATCGTCTTTGATAAAAACGCTACGAACTTATTCCCCAACCTAATAGATTATTATTCAGCTTAAATGCTGTCTCTTATACACATCTAGATGTGTATAAGAGACAGCATTTAAGCTGAATAATAATCTATTAGGTTGGGGAATAAGTTCGTAGCGTTTTTATATTTTCTTTTATTTCACAACGATTTATTGCTGTTTGATAAAGTGTATAATATTCATTCGATCTGTCTCTTATACACATCTGGGAGTCTGGGTGCCTCACGAGCTTAACGAAAACAACAAAGAAAATCGTCTTTGATAAAAACGCTACGAACTTATTCCCCAACCTAATAGATTATTATTCAGCTTAAATGCTGTCTCTTATACACATCTAGATGTGTATAAGAGACAGCATTTAAGCTGAATAATAATCTATTAGGTTGGGGAATAAGTTCGTAGCGTTTTTATCAAAGACGATTTTCTTTGTTGTTTTCGTTAAGCTCGTGAGGCACCCAGACTCCCAGATGTGTATAAGAGACAGATCGAATGAATATTATACACTTTATCAAACAGCAATAAATCGTTGTGAAATAAAAGAAAATATAAAAACGCTACGAACTTATTCCCTAACCTAATATTTACATTTCTGTAGCTTTCTCTATCAAATTTCACACACTTTTTACTACATTTTCATAAAAATTGATCCGAGGTTGCTATAATCGTATTTGACAATTTTCTGATCAACTAACAAATTTTTGCTATTTTATCGCAAGTCAAAAATCACAGGAGAAACCTTTCAAATCTTTCAGCACTTACGAGCAGAGTATCACGTGCAAGGAGTGGTTTGCATCGTTTCGCTCTAGTTATCCCAGTTTCTAAAACAAAAGTTAAATAAAGAGTCATAAATATTTTTCAACGCGTGTACAACAAAGACTTCGACCAGATTTCATATCTCGTTCGCCATTTCGTCGTAAAAAACGTTACCGAAATTACTGTGCTTTTTTAGGTCGGCGGAGCGGCGCACAGTGGGCTGGATCGAGAAATTCAGTGACATTCTGTTATAACTTTTGAACCATCAAAGATATTGCAATGAAATTTTCACCAAAAATATTTAAAAAATAGATATTTTCAACTATAGATAATTAAATTTTTTTGCATTTGTTAAACAATAATTTTTAATTAATTTTCATTGACATTTTTTGTGAACAAAAAAATTGTTTAAATATAATGTTACAAAGTTCGTTTCGTTTACTTATATTTTTCATGTTATATTTAATAAATAAAAATTTTAAATATCTGTCGATTTACAGACGAAGAAGCGTTCTGTAATACCGACTAGAACACAGAGAGATTATCTTCGATATCTTTAACCTCGAAGTAACGTAACGTTGATATCTTTAAAACGTAATAATTTGCAATCTGGTTCGTCTTGGTATGTAACTTTTACAAAATTATGTAGAGGAAATTATCCTGAAAATATATCGTTTGTCCGAAACCGTGATTCTTTGGGTGTCGAAAGATATTCCTTGTCGAATCTAAAGAATTTTTACACTTTTTGTATTTTATCAAACATTATATTTTTCATACGTAGGATACAAAAATCTTAATTTAAGCTACTGTTCCCTAACGAGAAGTATTGCCTCCTAATGTTAAAAA